GGCCCCCCGGAGACATGTCCCGCCACGCTTCCCCTGAGTCCCAGGGAGACGCTCCTCCGTGGGGAAGCGCGCTAGCACGGTTACCCCGGGAAGCTGCGCGCGGGCCTTTTTATTCCAGCTACAGCTATAAATCTCTCTGACTAGACAAGCTGCTTAACACAGAAGACATGACACAGAGCTATTCCAACAAACCGGAAACTTATCTGCCCTCAGGTAGGAAATTGGCAGCGTGGAAACGTCTTCATATGTGTTTAAGGACGTGGGATGGGCTGACAGGCTAGTCCTCCTCCTCTCACTGCGTGATTCTGCCAAAGAGACCTCTCGCACAGCCGAGGAAGGATCTACTGCCTGCCTTTGCCCTTTTCCCTGCCCTTGTTTCTAGAGACTGCAACAGAGCAGGCAGGCTGCAGCCTTTGGTTACCTCGCAGCACCCAAGGTTGCGTGCACGTTTGTCCCATATCAGAGCAGGCCTTGAACAGAAGCAGCTAAACCCCTGCGAGGAGCAGGGATGAGGTTGCAAAGGAGGGTTACAGAGAAGGGTGGCTATCGGCTGGCCAGGGCAATTAGAGCCTGCCGGCGCGCTCAGGACCCTGACATGGGCTCGCAATAACTGTGGGTAACTGTGTGTGCCCTCTTCAGACCTTCACCAGCCAGGACGATTTACAGTATCCAGAATCAGAGCTCCTTTCCCTTGTTATGTGCCTCATTCCCTCAGAAATGCCCTGCCACCCTCCCCAGGAAGGCTGCACGGGGGAGTCAGTCCCTGGGCACATCGCAGCCTGTCACTAGGGAAATCACGGAAATATAACCACATCTGCGGGGCCAGCTGGATAGAGGGAGAGGGGAAAAGTGGTGAATGGAGAAATCCACCTAAAACCCCCGCAAAGAAGTGCCTTACTTCTGGAAGGAGAGGGTCTGGGGATGGTGTATATGTAGACGAGAGCTATTCACACCTGGACACAACACTATTTTTGGTAATGCCTACACCAACAATGTTACAACATATGATACCACCTCCCACAGCATCCTCAACTGCTTGCTTTTGGTAACGCCCTTTGGTCTTTATCTGCAGATCAGTCTGTTGTTTCAGCCTTGGGACTTCAACAAGTCAGTGCATTTCAATTTTGACCCAAATTGCCTCATTTATTCTGCTCTAAGCTTACACGTGTACTTTGCCCATTGCCTCTCATACCCATTCCATAGCCTTATTCACCCTCTGCTCCCCTTCCCTATTATTATTCTGTCAATAACATCTCCTGGGCTGATAGCCACATGGCAATTAATTGAGCCAAGTCAAGAGGAAATTTTGCCCAGTTGAAAAAGACACCCAGATAGTATTTGGATGATATTTCCAAACTTACTACGTTTACGAAGCCTTCAGATTTGCACTCAGGTGGTAGAAGGCTTGCAGTGCTACTACCTCTGCCCAAACGATCTCTTCACTTACACAATGAAAGACAGGTACTGAGCAGGACCCTTCTTCCATGACCTTGGGAAAATTGTGCAAAAACGTCTGCTGGGCACCCAGCAAGTCTGCACCGTGCCACGCGTCAGCCAGGGATATTTCAAGAAAGCCTTCAATACTTTGTGCCCCCATAAATTCTCCAAACCCTCCCTGTGCCGGAGTCAGATAACAAGCAGAAGGACAATGGCTCCAAGAATCCAGGCTGCCCATCTGCTCTGCACTTCCAGAATCTTGCTTCCCTAGCGCCAGCTGATGAAATTTTCATAGCCGATGAGGTTTCTCATTTCCACTGGGCCTTGCTGCCTTGGAGCCTTCACAGTTGTGCTCTGTTCAGGTTTCTGTGGGTACGCACTGGTGGCAGCAATGATTAGAGACCCTTGCTTTCTTTTGGTGACTTGTCAGAGTAGGAACTTCAAGCGTTTTAGTAGTCTGGGTGAACTGAGCCCCACAAGAAGGAGAGAGACTGATTTTTAGGTGGTCTCAGCATTTACAGCTTCCATTAAACTCAGCACTTCTCAAAATCAGATCCCAAGGTCAAAGGGCAGAGGAGAGACAGACACTGAACTCAGGATGCCTGACCACCAATCACCTGCTTGCTCTGAACACTGAAAAACCCTCTTTCCTCAGATACAAAAGTCCTTGATTCCCAGTTCCTCTCTCCCTCTATCTTCACACCCATCCATCCTGCCTTTTCCTGTATCCGGTATGCTTGTGAGCTGGGCTCGCCATTGCCCTGAGCCCGGAGATGTGACATGATGCAGAAGCATGATGTTATGTTATTCTATCTTCATTTATACAACACCATTAATTCCAAAGCACTGCTCTCTGTTAGAGCCAGTTGCTCACTAAAGCCTCTGAAGTTCAATTAACAAGCGCCAGGTAATCTAACACTTGACTCCCAATAATCCCTTTATTTTAAGGGGCCTCTGGCGGATGCTAAAGCCCTCAGCAAACAGTCCTGGAAATACATTTGAGATTCTCTCAAATACCAGCTGAATTTATGACCCTTAGCGAAGAGCAGAGAGGAATCTCTTCAGAATACTTTCCAACCGGCCGCACTTTATATAGACCCCTGTAACTGTATAAAAGGAACCCCTGGAGGGGCAGGTGGCACCCCGTGGAGGGACGAATCCCTCTGTTTAGTAAAGCGCCTACAACCTTGGCTGGTGATGAAGTAGACACCAGAAGTAATGTCTCCCCACCAGAAGAAGGCAGTGCAGGCTTGGTCCTCTCAGGTTCCCAAGCAGCTGGGGAGACAGAGGTGCGGTGCCACTCTTGGAGACCTGCTTGGAGGCCTCCGCCTGCCTGAGAGCTGCACAATGTCTCCTTTCTTCCTGCTAGGATGCTGCAATCATGAAAGGACTCTTAGGAAAGGCTTGCCTCCTCCACAACTTCTCCGAGTCCAGCTGCCTGAAAAGGCTGCTCAGAGGATTCCCCACTAGACGTCAGCTGGGAAAACCTCAGAGGGAGAAGAGGCTTCATGGATGGGTTGAGCCCACCAAAACCAAAACGCCCAACACGTACGTGAGCAGAGCCTGCACTCTGAAATATGCCCATAAAAGCGGAGCCTAGCACCCCAAAACAATAGCATCTCAGGAACAATATGAACAGCCAAGCCCAGCCAGCCGGGGACAGCCAAATATGTCTGTAGAGGCAGAACTGGACAGCCAAACACATCCTGCCAGTATGCCTGGAGCATGCACCTACCAGATAAACACAACCCACCAGTAAAACAGCTGTCAGCAATACCTGTGTGTATAATTCACTCCATCCCACTGCAAAAGAATGAGGGCTGGGGTCCAATTTTGACATGAAGATGCAACCCTCAAAAAACTCCTGGAGTTTTTTTACAGGCAAACACTTTGCTGTTAGGATCCCCAGCAATAACAGCTGAAAAACAGAACTGTGCTGACCCACCCCCAACCCAAAATGCTATTTGTCTTATGGGACTGCCTAAAGGCACCCATCACGGATGGCATGTAATTCTGCTGGGCACTGCACAGAAGGACAAGCAGGCACAATACCCTGCTCCTGGGTTGAGTAAGCAAAGCAAAGCATTTCTGAGAATATGGGCTGGAGGATGAAGGCAGAACTGGGGAACGATGACAGGAAAACACTTTCACAGTACCCTGGCTCTTGGCACGGCTCGGTGGTTTCATGGCATTACAGAGTTTGAGCAGAGAGCAATGCCTGACTTACACTGGTATTTCAAATGTATATAGGGGCACTTTTTCTTCACCTGTATACCTGATGAATACATTGCATGCCAACATTCCCCATTGCAATTGCTGCCTATTTACAGTTCATATACGTATAAATATATATATATGTATAAAAATAAAATAAAAATAAGATAAATAAAATAGATATCAGTGACCCCTACTGGCCATTTATAACTAACCATAAAATCAAGAGCGGCAACAACTCGCTTTTGCCCTTTTCCCTGTGC